ATATATTTTTTTTTTAATATGTTTGAAAAAATCCGCAATGCACTGAACCCGCGATAAACGAACCGCGAAGTAGCGAAGGATCATTGTATATCGTCAAGTATTGTATAATAACTGTAAAAAAATAAAGTTCACTACTTCACGGATTTCACTCATCACTGGTTCTTTTTGGAACGTAACCCCCGCGATAAACGAGGGATTACTGTCTTCGGAAAAAATTGCCGAATGACTCAGAGGTTTTGTGCATGGCTGTAACTTGATTGGTTCCCAATGCCATCCACCAATGACAACACAAGTGGATCTATCCCACGTGGAGTGGGGGGGGGGGGGAGGCTGAGAAGATGCACAGCCAATGAACATGGCTTTGCATCTTCTCAGCCTCGCCCAGCACCCTCCCTTCTGTCTTATCACGTGGGTTACTCTTTGATCTTTGGTTAGTGTCTAAGTGTTGTTAACGATGCGATGCGTGCTCGCGTGTGCGCCGTGCGCACGTGTGTGTGTGCGTGTGTGTGTGTGTGTGTGTGTGTGTGTGTGTGTGTGTGTGTGTGTGTGTGTGTGTGTGTGTGTGTGTGTGTGTGTGCGTGTGCGCGCGTGCGGGCGGGCGTGTCTGTCGCGCTAACGCACACGTGGGGCACGTATGTGCGCGGGTGTGTGTGTGTGCGTGTGTATATGTGTGTGGTTCGGGGAAGTGCGAGACAGAGAGAGAGAGAGAGAGAGAGAGAGAGAGAGAGAGAGAGAGAGAGAGAAGAGGCTTATCAGAAAAAAAAAACAACAATATCTCTTCTTTGGCTTATCAGAAAAAAAAAGCAGCATTATCTCTTCCTTCCTTAATTGCCGAATCATTAACACATCGGCTGCACGCCGCGGGATCGCTGGACTGTATACATTTGAAATTTCGTCCCTCTCACATTTTTTGGCTTTTTTTTTATAAATCCTACTTCACGGATTTCATGAATACTGGTTCTTTTTGGAACGTAACCCCCGCGATAAAGGAGGGATTACTGTACATTTTTCAGGTCGGTCCAAATAGTCCCCGGTCTTTTCCATTTTGGGAAGCGACTCCCAACAATGCATCCATTTTGCGGTTGACTTTGGTCAATGCATGAGTCACCCTCCACGTAGGCCGTCAGCGTATTCCCTTCCAATGAAGCTGCTCCAGGTGGCTGAATTTTGCAATAGATCAGAAGAAGACCTGTTATCAAGGGGCCAAAAATGTAGATGTTGTGATGTGTTGTCACAGACCCTCTTCCTTCTGTGTATTTATAACTTGCCCCTTGATTTCGGTGAATCCACTTCCGGGGACCTTCTCTATGTTTCTTGCTTTTAATTATCATGCTGGGTGGGGTGATTTCCGGAAGGTGTTCTCACACCTGCTGTTGATCAGCAATCACTTCCTGTGCATAAGACCTCTGCTGATATGCAAGCGCGTGCCAGATGATTTGATTTGCGCAATGAGTGCGCGACCCTGCCCAGCCTACCGCTGCCTTTCCTCCACAGACTACTTGATTCTTCACTTATCACAAATCACGTGTACTTTTTAAAACTATTGATTCTGTACTTTCACCCCCTCAGACTTTTCCCCTGATATGTGCGATAGATTCCTGCAGTTTTTCATTGATAAGGTTTCTAACAGGACTCTTTTTGCAATCCACTACACTTGAACCCTTTCTCCATGTCCCAGAAATGAAAGTCCTCCGGATTTTCCCGGAATTGCGGGTTTTTCATTATTTTTATGAAAATCTGTCCAGAGAATTGAGGAAAATTTGCTGAAAATTAATCCGGATATTAGTTGACAACATTGTACAAAGACTCGTTTGAGTTTGTTGTTTTGCTTTCACGAGCGTAGCCGTGTTGAAACACTAACACGAGTAACAGTAAAGAGATTTTCGTCTCTTTATAAACACACTTGCTAAACCCCAGTGGAACGAA